GGCACCATGAGGAGAGCAACAATACCAACCAACCACAGCTCCCAGGGTCTAAACCACCAGCCTGGGAGCACTTAGGGGGGGATCTAGGGCTTCAGCTGAATATGTAAAAGTGGAGGGCCCTGCTGGGCATAGGTGGAAGAAGAGAACCTTGACCTCATGAAGGCTGGATGCCCCAGGGGGTGGGAATTTTGAGGGTGGGGAGGTGGGAGTGGGGGGTGTAGATAGAGGTTACATCCACAGAGAAGAAGGAGGAGGGGCGAGGGGATTGGGGGTTCCGAGGGGGTGGTGGGGGATGGGGTAAGGGGACAACATAGGAAATGTAAATAAATCATCCAATAAAAAAAAAAGAAAAAAAAAAGAGAAATACACAGAGACACACAGGAGGGGGGGGAGGGAGGGGGGAGAGAGAGAACACATCACCACCACCAAATAAGAAGCATCAGTGATCATTGGTCATTGGTCTCTCTCAAGATCAGTGCTCTCAATTCTCGCAATAAAAAAAAAAAATATGAGGCTAAAGATGTGGCTTAATAAAAGATAGTTTACCTAGAGCCTCCTTTCTACAAATAAATAAATAAATGAATAAATAAATAGATAAATAGCTGAACTGTTCTCATTATCTGACCAGAGACATTTTTATACATGCTTGGGAGGTAAATTTAGGAAGAGTAACCTTTTTCATTGGAAAAATAGAATTAGATAGATGATTGATAGATACATGATAGGTAGATAAATGATAGAGAAATAGATAATAGATAGAATCTATCTCTATCTCTATCTCTCTCTATATAGAGAGAGAGATGGGAGAGAGAGAAAGAGAGAGAAAAAGAGTGATTGATGGATATGGATATGGATGGATGGATGAACAGTTGAATTTAGGAAAGTAGCCTTTCTTGTAGAAAAAATGAATAAATTAAATAGAACATAAATAGATAAATAGACGGATAGAAAGACAGATACATGACAGATGATAGACAGATGACAGATGATAGAGATGATGATAGATGGACGAATGGACAGATGATAGATAAAGGGTAGACAGATGGTGGATGAGTAGATAGATAGATAGATAGATAGATAGATAGATAGATAGATAGACAGACAATAAATTAGCTGTACATGGACCTGACTTCTCAATGCTTTACAGGAACAAGATTGTCTAATGTGGAAATGTATTACTCACTTTTAGACTTTGAAAGTTATTTAGTATCATTTTATAAGTAACATTATATAATAATAGTCAATGTAATATGTAGATAAGATATAAAGAAGAAGAATAAAATCTCGTAAGTCGATATTGGTAAACATCAGCAGAATTAAATACCTACCATATATGGTATAAGTAAACCAGATTCTTTATAAACATAATGCCTCTTCAGGAATTTTGTTATTTTTGAAATCAGAAGATGGGTAAATTTAAGAAAACTATTATATACAGATAAGAATACATAAAATATATTTTGTATAGTTGAGAACCTACAACAATCATATTTATGTTTGATTGAGCCACTGTTCAAAAATTTATTTGAAAATGTGTGCAGAGAAGTTTTTGAATCTAGAAGAATTGCCGGGTGCCAGCCCCGGCTTGGTGGGAGGAGAAGGTGATCTTCTTTCTTCTCGTTCCGTCAGTTTTTCTTCAGGCAGCCAAGGAAGATGGGAATTGGAAGAGTGTCGGTGGGGGTAAGACTTGGTCTTACGAGATATTTAAGGTTGCTGTTTAATAAAATCTTACTAGTCTATGTTACTAAAGTTTACTTACTAGGCTACTGTAGCTGACCTGCTATCTGTTTGATCCTCTGAGGCCAGAAACTGCAGTTTCTGGCACTTAACATCTCAGCCCAGGAACAGCAGAGAATTAGGCAAATAACCTTAGTACTCTCTCTGCTCCTGCTGCCAGGCTCTAACTTAGGTCTGTTGGCTTGAGGTCGCAGGAAGAAAAGACACCTAGAGAAGTTATAGTTTATTACTTAGTGTAAAGAGTTTCCTATGAAAGCTATCTAGAAGACAAAGTGGGAAAGTTCTAAGTTGGGGAAAAAGGAGAAAATTCTAACAAAGGAAAAATTCTAAGTGGAGATATTCTAAGCAGGGAAGAAAGAAGGAGAGGAGCGGAGAGGAGAGGAGAGGGAGGGAGGGAGGGAGGGTGGGAGAGAGGGAGGGAGGGAGACAGAGAGAGAGAGGAGAGAGAGAGAGAGAGAGAGAGAGAGAGAGAGAGAGAGAGAGAGAGAGAGAAAGGGAGGTAAGTGAGAGTGAGAAAGTGAGAAGTGACCGCTAAGGAACGTCCCTTTGTCTTATACATCATTCGGAGTACCTGATCACATGTTACAAATTCATCACAAGTTCACACCAAAATTCAAATCATAAATTGAAATAGAAGTTTACAATCGAGAATGTTTACATGCATATCCATTAGGAGTAATTATCTGGCTAAACATCCATCACTTGTCTAGCTCCACAGGTTCACTGAAGGTTTAAAACTATAACTAAGAAATTAGTGAAGTTTTGTATAGATAAACCCAGGCAATATTTTCTCTTCTGTCCTAGCACCTATGATAAATCTTGAGTTCCCTTTTAGTGACCTTTGGTTAATTGTTTTACAACCACCTTGGAATGTGCTCTGAGCAGGAGGGAGTCTGGTTACTATCTAAGTGCTGTTAACTGATGACACTTGAGAGACTGACAGAGTTCTCATAGCAGTTTTGAATATCAGAAAGGGACTTAATAGCATTCCCACTATAAAAGAGCTTAATAATCATTGGTATAATGTTAGAAATTCTTATAGGATCATCATTAAGACTTAAGAAGTCATCTATTTGTCTATATAGCATCACTACAAGACAGTACATCTTCGTGGGTCTGCAGAGATTTGCTCCAAAGGGGAGTGCTATTGTTTAGTGATTATTACGTATGTTTAATAATAATAATAGGAAAAGCATATTAAAAGCAGGATCTTTCCTAAAATATGTCCAGCATAGCCTTGCTGATGTGGCACACTTGTCGCAGATAGTAATCCGAGGCAAGCATTTCAGGATGATCAACTGCTAATTATTAGCTTGTCCTATTATGGCTTCTGACAAGGAATATGATAGTTTTATATTTTCTCAAATATTTATACCAGGATTTGTCTCATTGAAGTTGCAGTAAATATTTGACATTAAATAATATAGGTGTTTATTTTACTGTAACATTTGGCATTTCACACCAGCCAGACCCATTCTGTCTTGGGCTGTAAGTCATGCTCCTACCTGAATGAGTGCTTACACAGAAGCCAGCAGCCAGACAGGAGTGGCTTCCTAGAGGCCCTTGCCTTACCATGTGAATGCTGCTAAATTTTCCTTGCTTTCATTTTTGAAACTTTAATCTTATGATCTTTAAAACATTTCCTGTGGGAATAGATAGCTGGTTCTTCATTTAAGAGCACCTGCTATCCTTCCAGAGGTCTCTCGTTCAGTTCCCATTCTAACACAGTTTCCTTACAAAACAAGTCAGAGTCTCTGATCTTACATTTTTTATATCGATATTTTTCTTCTAGATGTAAGGCACAGTTAATTATTATTTCTGTTCTTCTTTACCTCAACCTTCACATATTTAGGTTATATTAAATGTCTATTTGCTTAATAAATACCATATGATAATGATAAAAAAATGTTATTTCATCTTTCAAAATCCCACCCATCTAATGCATAAAATAGGAATTGAATCCACCGTACTTTTATCAGATGTGTGTGAGACCAGTATTTGTAGATCTTGAGAGGCCAGTAAACCCTGAACAATCAATCAGAGCTTACTTTAGTGAAATGATTTTATTCTAATACTCTCCCTTACAAAAGGAAAAGATTAACTTGTCCTTTGCATTTAATCTTTGAGTATATTGATTCAATCTCACAGTGCACTGATTTATAAACATCTGCATGTCCATCATGGTTACTACTCTCTGCAGAACAAGTTGTATTCTTTCTTCCTTGTGGAGATTTTATCAATTTAGAGCAAGGTCATCGTTCTTATTAGGAAGGATGAAGGGAAACTCTAGGGATAAACTGAACATCATTGCATAGCTATGCCATGAGTAATACAACATGAATACAGAAATCCTCGAAGCTGAAAATGTGGGAAGAGAAAATATCTGAAGATGTGAGTGAGACACTTTTAGTCTCACTCAATGATAGGTATTACTGTATGTCAATTCCTGTGTTTTTAACTAGAATTAAAATTTTACTACATGAGCCTGATGAAAATTTTCCTAACAGACCTTTGTCTCTAAAGTATTCCTTTGAGTGTATTGTTTGCTCACAATATATTACCTCACACTTTAGATTATGAAAACAACTAGGTAAATTCTCTTAGGATAGCATGCAAAAATAGATATACTATTCTTGAAGGAATATAACTCTTTGTTCCTATATGTACCTTAGACTATTTATTTTCTTTTCCCAGAACTTGGAATTAATTTTGATCACATATGGCAGAAAACCTTGACTGTGCTAAACCCACTGAAGCCAGCAGATGGCAGCATCATGAACGAAACCGATCTCACAGGACCCATCCTTTTCTGTGTGGCTCTGGGAGCCACGTTGCTTATGGTATCTTCCAACAGCTAAACTGACATTTCTTGGCTTGTCTCTATAAGTGCTACTTTTGAAGAGATTTTTAGAAAAAAAAAACAGAAGAAATTTGCTTTCTACCATGCCTTAAGATATGACCTTGTATCCCATCACATTAACAACTAGGTATAGAGGTACATAACAATAACACTGGTACTCGGGACCATGGTGCTCACTAGTCAGCCATCCGGCCGTTCTGTGATTAGATACAGAATGTTAGGCTCAGTTAAACAGCCTCTCTCAGCGCACACACATGAATACACATACACACATGAACAGCACCCCTACACACACACACACACACACACACACACACACACACACAAGTAGTTTCTTCTAATGATGCTATATATTTCAAATGTGGTTTAAAAAGTATATGTGACTACATACATGCTTTCTTACCCTTTGTTCAATTTAAAATACTACCTAGTCAAAGTACTGAATACAGTCTAGTTTCTGAGTGAACAATGATCCCATTCTTTTCCTCCTATATAACAGCACAGCAACAACAAGCTCCTTCCTTGTAGCACATATAAAATGCCAATGCTGTCTAACTCGAGCACTGTCAACCAGACATTCCCACTCATTCTCAGGGCTCCCTTCTTCTCTTCTTCACAGTAACATGGTAGTCTTGATTGACCTGTTATGCAAGGCCATGCCAATTAATCAAATAGAAACAATCAATTTAATATATTAACCAGTCTTTCCCTTGCAAGTCATTTTTAATGTCACACCTGTTTGTTTTTCTGTGAAATATGTTACGATTACCATCTGTTAAAGGACAGCGTTAGTTTCATCATCAAGATCACTCTTGGATACATAATGCTAGTAGGAATTATTTAACTACCATCTCTTGTGTTTTAAGTACAAATCATTATACATGAAGAAATTTTAACTGGAGATGATAAAATCAAATTCACCTTTAACTCTCAATACCTATGACCTTAAAATGTTGTTTGCACATGTTTTAAACTTTCACTTCTTCACGTCGAGACTAAAAGGATTTACCTTTTTAACTCATTTTACAGAAATCTCAAGTTTCTTATACTTCTAAAATTATACAGTTATATGATAATATATCACTAATATTTCATAGAAAAATTTTATAAATTTTATCATTAGCAGTGATGACTTCAGGATTAATGTTAATAGATACAGACCAGTGATGACAGTCCAAAAACTCCAATGGGATGTTAACTGAAATCAGATTTTGGTCTGAATTTATTGACTCCTAACTCTGTTGTACTTTGCCTCTTTAACCAAAAGTTCATTTCATAGACCATTCCATCCATTATATAGTAAGAGAAAAACTAAATTCAGAAGCAATATTCAAATCTGTTAAGTACTTCTAGATATGTAAGATTCCCAATCATCTACATGGCAGCCAGGAAGTAAAAGAAAGAGATAAGAAGAGGCCTGCGTCCCAGTATACACCACATAGACATGCCCCTGGTGACTTGATTTCTCTCTGCTACATCCCAACTCTTAAAGGTTCCACCACTACCCAAAGCACTGCAGACATTCAAATTTCTAGCACATAGCCATTAAGGAAACACACAAACTGTAGGGCTACCCAATATCAACACATGATTTAAAGATATTCTTCACTTAGCTGCTCTAGTAGGTTACCAGTATGGTCTGAAAAGTAGTATTTATAAACAATACACAAGTACAGTTAGTGCTTGGTATTGTGCTACATGTCTGTCATTCCAACCCTGAGGAAATGAGTGTATAAGACACAAGAACTTGACCAGCTCGAAGTATTTAACAAGATCTCATCTCATAAAAAAAGACTGATGTAGCACATTGGTAGAGCCCATAATCAAACTCAGCAAGGTCTGGGACTTGATCCTCTGAACTACAAGAAGCTTTTGTTAGCATTTGGTTGGAAGAACACTAAATATTTTTAGATCAAGGTGAACTGATAAAGGTCAATTGTCTAGGAAGGATCCTAGACATTTGAGGTAAAAACCCAGATAATTTATTTTCCATTTCAGTATTAAATCTTTCTTAATATTTGAAACAAACTCTTAAAATAACAGTATTACTGATACTAATTGTAAATTTCTAAGACTATATTAGGTGTTTTATTCTTCTCATCAATCATCCAGCTATGCAGTAAATATGGGACAAAAAAGATGTTTCACTGGTGTCACTCTCTATAGACACTGTTTAAAATGTCATCCTGGCAATATTTCGTATCTTTTGTAGCATTCCTAGCCTGTCCCATATATATGATCATCATTCATGTTACAGGAAGTGTTTTATTATACTTTAACCAGAATCCTCAGTGATCTGGTGACAGTATCCACCATGGTATTCAGTAGCATTGAGTACTTTCAAATTCTGTCCGTCTGTTTTGATTTCTAATTGCTTTCTTTTCATTGTTTCAGGCAGGAAAATCCCAGTTTGGTTATATATACGGCATGAGTGCCATTGGCTGCCTTGGGATTCACTCCTTACTGAACTTGATGAGCTCTTCAGGGGTGTCGTATGGCTGTGTGGCCAGTGTGCTAGGATACTGCTTGCTCCCCATGGTAATCCTGTCCAGCTGTGCAGTTTTCTTTTCACTGCAGTAAGTGTGTGAACTAATTGACCCCGTGTGCACAATCTTTGCCCATGCCTGCCAGACCAGGACAAATCATGAAGGTTTCTTAACATTTTGTCAATGGAATGGGAGGGATTATGCTTATTAAACACTACACATATATTCAAAAAAATAAAAGTAGGTCAGTTTAGCTGGGGAGCTCTTTCTATTTAACTAGTTTAAAAAATAAATCCAGCCATGTAATATTTAAAACTTGTACCTTTAAGTTGTCATATTCTTCAATATGAGCTATTGGCATGGGTAATAACAACTGCGGAAAATTCACTTATTTGATTTTGGAAGAGTAAATGCCTGCTGAATTCTGACAAATTACTTCAGAGCCCAGGCATCTGCCTTCTAGGCAAGAAGCAACTGTTATTTCTCAGCTGGGCTTCTCACAGTAGAGAACTCCCAGAAACCTCGATGAGGATATTAATTCTGGAGAACTTACAGCACACAGGCTCAGTCAATACAATTTTTGCCTTTTCTTTCTTCATTTAGGCAGCTGGTATTTGGAGTTCTAAACTATTCATAAGGATACTTAGAGGTGTTTCCCACAGCACTTTCCCAAGGCTCATGCATAATGCTAGCTCTCAGTGACAGCAAACGAGCAGCCTTACAGTTATTTGCTTGCCCACAAGACACTTAGAAATAAACACCCTTGTGCTCGCTCTTGAGAAAGTCATCTTATAAAGAGGAGATACTTGGTTTGGCTCTCAGTTTGGTGCCATGCTTGTTAACTTTCTTCTGTGGAGAGGTAGAAATGATGATGAGGAAAGTGTATGGAAGAGAGCTGCTTACCTTGGTACCCTGCAGGAAAGAACAAGAGGCAGGGGTTGGTCGGCTAAACTTCTTCACTCTAGGTTCTGTCCCCAACATGAGCTCTACCACATCCAGCTATAGCTAGCTATTAAATGTGTAGCCACTAGACTATGTTAAAATCCAAAGCCATAATAGAGGACTCAGAAATACATTGTATGAAATGGGAATAAAATGGGAATGTTAATAAACGAGACTGGTTATAACCATGGCTTCTGCTTTTGATTATTCTAGATTTGCTAAAAATATAAAAAAGACCAGTCTTGAACAGCAGATTTTTATGAAATGTTTTCTAACGGCCTGAGGCCCTGTAAGCCCATTCAGGTAATCAATCTCCTTTGCAAATGGAGACTGATATTCTGGAAGGATGTACCACCTGCATTTCAAAGGCAGTTGTGAGTCAGTCTCCCTCCTTTCCTCCAGGCATAAGGCATCCGTCATCTTTGTCTCTCCTACAGGGGTACCATTGGAACCATGTCGGCCCTGCTCATCATTGCCTGGTGCAGTCTCTCAGCTTCTAAGATCTTCATCTCAGCCTTGGCCATGGAAGGACAACAGCTTCTTGTCGCTTACCCCTGTGCCTTACTTTATGGACTCTTTGCCCTTCTGACGGTTTTCTAAAGAATGCTTGACGTGACTTTGCAAGCTCCTACCTTTTTGTTCTTCAGGTTTTTCTGGAAGTGCAGTACCACTCAGATTCTGTGTGATAACTTCCGTTTACTTGCTGTTTAGAGACAAGATATTAAGCAGAGAGACAAGGTAGTATTCAGTGATAGTGCTCTACTAGCCTGTTGGTGGGGACGATGCTTTGATTTTCTTTTTTTTTAAGCCTGGAGCATTAAGACCATTAAAAACTGACAAATGCTCTTTCTCTCAAAAGACATGCTTCTGAGAAATTATAAGCAAAATATCATCCTATGCTTAACATTTATTAACTTTATAATAAATATTTTTTCAAAAACTTTCATAACTCTGCATGTGGTTAAAAGTTACACAGCTTGGCACCTTTGGAGGATTCAGGGGTTTTATCTATCCAGCGTCAAAGAAACTGCTTCATTTACCGTAACAGCTGTTATTTGGTGTCATTTAGATAATGTATCGACTCACCACATTTTCAGAGTCTCACTTCCCTCTCATCTGCTCTAAATGCTAGGGTCTATTACTTCAGCTCGCGCTTGCATATATCCAAAGTAATTTTGCTGTATACTCTCTAAATAGATAACTGTCCCTGCAGGAAATTCCACCTATTTTGTATTAATGCTATTGAAGTTTCAGAAATAGTTCCTCAGCACTGCCCTTTAATCCTGTACTACACTTTGGTTTGAAATTTGTTTTCTTACTCAGATGACCAAATAACACCAATATCTTACTGCTCAACTTTCTAATCTTTCTTCCTCTCCCATCTGCTATTTTGATCCTATTTTCCTTAAAGCCATAAGCAGCGAGATAATTTTTGTATCTTCCCACCATATCCGTCTGCTCACAAGAGATTCTACTTATGTCTACTTTGCCTCCCTTTTCTTGCCTTCTTCTCTCCACATCCCTCTTCCCTCCATACCTAGTATTTCCTCTCAATCTTCATTCGCAAAACCACATAGACATGAACTGCTGTCTCCTAACTCAAAAATTTCAATCGTGACCTACTTCCCTAGTCCTCTGTGTAGAAAAACATGTCTGAGATGGTTGTCTTATCGCTGAATCTACCTTATTACTTCCTCTTCACTCTTTCTGGTCATCTGTGCAGGAATTCTTCATCCTGTTAACATGACAACCTTCGTCAAATGTGTGATGACATGCCACACTGCATCCAACCGTTATTTTTCAATTTCATCTCATTTGGTAAGTGGGATTGGCTTGGTCTTTTGCCAATTTCTGCTTTGGTGCTGCACTTTATCATAGAGTTTTTCACATGGATTTCCAATGGCCAATTCTCTTAGCTCTCTCCCCTTAGCCGGTTTTTCTTCCACCTTTAAATTATAAATCTAATATTAAGTTATTACCTATGATCATTCAGTTAAATGGCTTTCAAACATAGTGATTCCAAGATTCCAGTGGCACTGTCAATTCTCTTCCCTGAACTCTTGGTATCTATACAATTTATACTTAATATCTCCATTTTCTCTGATTTTTCATGTAATAAGCTTATATATACTATCCCTCCTTCCTTATTTTTCTTTAGAATCTTTTTATTTTTGTGGTAAGTGGAGTCCTGATCACTTTTTGTTTTTAACCAACATCTTGTCCAATATTTAATTTAACCTGTCCTAAGAGTTTGGATAAGAAGTGTTTCTCCAAAGGTCTTTTATGTGTCAGGCTTCCTTCTCAGATTGTGCTTTCAGTGAGTGAGACATGATTGGATCATGAGGTTAGAGACATAATCAATGGACGAATGCATTGGTGAATTCTTAATTTGGTGGTGGTTCTGGGAAGAAATAGAAACCAGGAGATTGGGCTAGTTTGGAAGAAGTAGATCACAGACGTTTTGCTTTTAACTGGCATATCTAATCTGTGACCCATGCCTGTCTGTTGTGAGGATCCTCTCTGCTCTGCCATACACCCCTCACCAGGACCTTGTGTCTCACCACACATAAGCAAAGAACAGATGGTGCAAAATGACCATGGACTGCAACTTCTGAATCTCTGAGTCCAAAACAAGTCTTTCTTTTCTTAAGTTGTTTGCTCAGCTCTTACCAAAGTTGCAAAAAGTGACTGACACAAGCTCTTTCCTCAGCCCCACACAGGCCGCTGGAACTGCTGGCTAAAGGAAACAGTCTACTCACTGACTTTTCCCCCATGCATTCTCTGTAGCAGGCTTTTTTATACACACAGGATATGAGAGCCTTTGAATATGTATATTTATTTATGATCAGACCAACCCAAGGCCCTTTTATGGCATTCATTTGTATTTACAAAAACCCCCTCAACCTCCTTTTCACAGCTTAGGTACTTTCTAGTCAGTGTCAGGCCCTTGGAATAACAGATAGTGTTCTCTGGAATCCGGTTAAGAGTTGTAAATCTCAGGTCCAGCCCCAGAACTTCTGAATAGACGTTTGCATTTTAACAAGATCCCAGATGAATTAGATGCACAATAAATTCTTAAAGTGCTTGCCCGGCATGACCTGGCTTTGTGACATGCTTTGCCATCTTAACTCCACACCTTAAATTCAGTCCACTCTTCACTATCCTCAGTTTTGCTTCTCACACTACACAGTTTATCACCTCTGAAGTTTCTTATTTATCCGGTTTACCCGCAGCGTACTTCTGTCAGATGTTACATATGTGTTCCTGTCACTTCCTCATCTGAGTCCTAATGTTCTTGTGTTTGTATACATCCCACTCAGTCTTCCTCTATTCATTCTCCTCTGTTATACACTAGGGTAATTGAAGTGGTTTAATCTCAATATACCTCAATTTCTTTACTTCTAGGCTTTCTCTCTCCTCATCCAGAAGATATAAACACATTGAAGCCAAAATCATTATCCATAAACAACATTCCCGAAAGTTTATTTCTGTTTCTATTTTTTCATTGCTCTTTGAAATTTTCTATTTCTACTTATGGGGTGAATGAATGAATGAATAAATAAGGGAAGGATTGATACGGTGATTGGAAATTAATCCCAATGACAAATAAGGCAACTGGAGCTGAGTCGTGAGTGCGGGGAAACTAGGCAAAAAGGCAAATAAACAGTAAACAAACAAGCCAGGTGATTACTAAAGTATGAGCGTGCTCACGTGCAAGCATGTGGAAGGGAAGTCAGGACGGTGGAGGAGATGCGTTGCTGCTATTTAATAATCGGTTAACAGACAAGATAATTAAGTGTGGAGGCTTTTGTTTCTGACTTCGTTATTTATTTATTCACTTTACATCCTGATTGCAACCTCCACTTCCCCCTCTCCTCCCAACCCCACCCTTACAAATCCTCCTCTCAGTAACACCTCCCCTTCTCCTCAGAGAAGGGGAATCCCCCCTGGGGAACCAACCCACTCTGGCACATCTTTTTCCATCAGGTCCAAGCCTAGCCTTTCGCACCGACCAAGCAGTCCAGTCTGGTGGAAAGAAGTTCAATAACAGGCAACGGAGTCAGAGAGAGCCCCCACTTCAATTGTTAGGGAACCCATACGGAGACTAAGCTGCACATCTGCTACATATATACGGGGAGATCTAGGTCCAGCCCCTGCATACTCATTGTTTGGTGGTTCAGTCTGTGAGCCCCATGGATCCAGGTTAGTTGACTGTGTTGGTCTTTCTGTGATGTATTTGACTCCTCCGGGTTCCTCCATTCTATTCTCCACTCTTCCACAAGAATATCACCAACGGCCAAGAATTAAACGGGTATAGTAGAAAATATAGATTCTCTATATGAATATAAGCCTTATAAAACATTAAGGATGTATTTCAAGACAATTTGGTTATATAGACAGATATATTTTGGATCTGGATGAAATTAAATTTTATGAAGAATTCCTCTGGGAGCATGTGTATAAGTAATATAATTTTACTAAAAAGAAATTCGAAGAATTTGGAGGTTAGCAAGGTAATTCTAAGGTTGATATATGTGTAGAAATCATGAAGCAACCCGTCTACAAATTTGTTTTGAGGGTGAATTAAACTGTTGACTTCTAAGAGTGAAGGCTAAATAAACTGAAACATACTTGGAGAGTAATCTCATGAGACAATGCCTGCAAGTCAGCTTTTACTTTGTATTTGTTTCTGGTTTATGTTTATATTTTTGCTTTTGCTTTTTTTCTAGATAGAATCTCACTATCTAGTCCACTCTGGTCTTGAATTTATTGTCCTTCAAATGGCTGAGAATTTCCAATCCTCCTGCTTCAGCTTCCTGAGTGTGGGGTAACTTTGCCATTACAACCAGCTCAGTTTTTACATGTCGTTATTTAGTGAGGATTTACTATAGACTGTCCTAAGTGTTTCAAAAGTGAATTAGCACATCTGATTGTCACAATAAGTAAGAAATGCCGTTGTCCTTGCCTTCACCTCACAGATAAAGATCCCAAAGACAGAGGGGTTCAATCACGTGTCCATGTTGCTCAGACAGTGAGCAAAATTTATTTCATGTAACAATACACATGGAATTACAATGTAACAATTTCTTATTTTCAAGCTTGTCTTCCATTTGCTCTATTTACATTCGTCTTTAGCCTTGACCTTGGGGCATGCTAAACAAGGACCATTGGCTTCAGCTGTGGAGAATAACTGCGGTCAAGGAAAAAGGCAGATTTCTGGCAAGAGTAGAGCGTGCCCTCAAAGACTCCAGGGCTGGCTACTGAACTCTACTTGAAATCAAAGATACCAATTCAGATCTGGCTGGCATTTGAATACAAAATCTTTACAAACTATAGTTATTTTCCCCAGTCCAAAGAAGGTGGGCATTACATAGTATGTAAGTGTTATCCTTACTAATTCACAACATCTGAATTTTTGTGGCCAGTAGTATGTAGTCACAGATAATGCATCGAGTGGACAGGTGATAGAAATGGGTTCTTTCACTTTAATACCTCCTAGCAGGCTTCCCCTTCATCCTTTCCTCAAAAGTGTTCAATCATTTTTATCTGGGAGTGGACCTTTTTCCTCTTTCTTTTTCACTTTCTGTTTTACTGGCTGG